GGGGAGTGAATGTGATGAGAAGGGGAGGCCTATCAGCATCTCTAAGCATAAACGCATTCAATTACATTTCATAAGCTAAGCACTCATCAGTTCAAATACTCACAATATGTGGTTTAGCCTAGAATGAACTTCATTGCTATAAACTATTTCAAATCTTTATTTTTAAGCTGGACAAGAAGAAACTAACTCACCCTCATTAAAGCTATCAGGAACATTGGCCACCAGGAGGCAGAGGAACCAGGCTCCATTTTTAACATGCAACAGAGCTTCTGCTACATCAACTATGGGCAACAGTGACGGCAACTCTGGATAAAAAATTTTAGAAGTTACAGAGTTTCACTATGAAACAAACAAAAACTTGAATTTAATATGCTGTTAAGTAACATATCAAACCAATGAATGAAAAAAAAAAATCTGTCATTTATTCCTCTTTCAAAAAGCTATACAGCTGAGATTAACCTTAAATCAGTCACAACAGGTCAAAAAGTTTCGTTTTCTTTTAAGTTTGTATTTCTTTTGAATTCATAACTTCTTACAAAATTAATACAAATGGAACATATTTGTAGTTTTTATATCTATATATATACCTGCTTGCAAAATACAGAGAACATCTGCTGCCTCTTCCAGATAGACAGGACTCTCAAAGAGCTCCGAAGACTTGAGAAAAAATTCTCCATTTGATTCTGACACCTGCAAAGCATTATTCATCATCACTGAACAAGTTTTAGGAAACAATTTGTCTGATCAGACTTCCCTAGATTGAAATTCAATAGATTTGATCTATTAAAACTGCCAAAAACATATAGCTAGAAGCATAGAATAGTGAAGGAAATGTTTAGAGTAATAAATATTTACTAACAGAAGTATGTCAATACAAGTAGTGTTATTGTTTCTTTCCAGAAGAAAAACAGCTGAGAATTCTAAAAATACACTAAGTTCACACAAGGAAAATAAAATACAGAAGAAAAAAATACGAGAAATACGGTAGCTAACATACTGCAATAAGAGTAAGAGCACAATTTCATTTTCAAATATAGTTTCTGCATTGATGCATCACAAAATCGCGTTATATTTGAGTAAAGCACGTTATAAGATACGCTGAACAAATATTACATTAGAAAAGATTACCCTTATTTGTTCTGAGGAAGAAAGGCTTCCTCTAGGACGTTGGGTTCATAAGGAGTTTACTCACAAGCCACTGTTCGATAAAATGGAAACTGTAAGCCTTGGTGCACCAGGTAAGATCTGGAGAAGTGTACTCACAACAGCAGTGGCAGTGGTAACATAACGGGGCAGTACATCAACTTATTAGGAACAAAGCCTTCTGGCTTCTTTGTCTTGCTAATATAAAATTCACAACTACCCAGAAATTAAGAAATTTACCTTATTCATAATTGCCAGTAATTCGCTGAGTACGAGCCGGAGCCGGCGAGGCGAATCGCTGTGCTCGAACTCCAGCGTCAGGCCGTGCTGCAGCTGCGACACCAAGATGCTTTCTCCGCTGCCTCCTCCTAGCTTGTGCCTACCAGATGATTAAAACACAACAGTTATCACATCTTTTGTATGCACTGGCAACTTTTCAGGTAAAAGACGATAATTCCGCAAGAATTTCTTCTATCACACTAAAGATTGGACTGCGGTACCTGTAGAGCGTTAGACAACCTATTTAGGCGGATTAACGTGGTGTATTCAGAAAACACCAGCAGAATGACCAGGGTCTGTGCTCCCCACAGCCCAGCCAAAAGCCCAGGCAGCTCCTCGGCCCCTCAGCGCCTACCGACCGCCCCCCAAAAGCCCCAAATACATCGAATAAAGCCGCAGGGAGGCCGCCGGCAGCCACCCGGGGAGTTACCGGAGCTGCTGCTCTTTGCTGGCGTCCTGCTCCAGGGCGTGAAAGTCGACGGAGAGCAGGGCCACGATGGAGTTGACCGCCTCGACGCCCGAGAGGAGCCTCAGGATGAGCTTTTTGTCCTGCGCCCAGCTCTGGCTCTGGTCCGCGGGGGCGCACAGGGCCATACGCACCAGGCAGGGCAGCAGCAGCCGCAGCTCGGGGTCGCTCAGGGCGGCCAAGCGCACCACGTCCACCTTCTGCATGGCCTCGAAGGCGTAGGGGCTGACAAACTGCAGCCCCGAGCACTCGGCCATGGCGGCGGCCGGCCCCGGGTCCCCTCAGCCGGGCGCTGCCAACGGCGCGAAGCGATCGCGTCACGGCCCTGAGGGGAGCGGCGGCGGCGGGCGGGAGGGCTCGGCCCGCCCCTTCCTCTCCCTCCCTGCTCCCCGAGAGGAAATAAGGAAACACCGCAATCAAGGCTTCATGAATAATTTATTCCATTTGATTTTTTTTTTGTTATTTTTTTTAAAAAGTATAAACCTTTTTTTTTTTTTTTTTCTCATTTCCTCAATCACAATTTGTACAACTCAGTGTTTATGGCATTCGGCAGCAATAGTGTTTGTTCCTTAATCACTTTTTGTTATGTCATGATAAATACGGCGGCTTGGACCATTAAGTGTCACGGCTGTGAGAGAACGTAAGTTTAAAAAAAAAAAAAAAGAATAAAAAAAAAAGTAAAAATAGAAGACAATCCTCCCCTTGGTGCGCCCCGCGTGTGGTGAGGGGGCGGTGAAGGTGACATGGCTCCCAGGTGGGTGCCCGGCCCTCACATCCAGTTCGCTCCGAAAAACCTCAACGCTGGAGCACAACGGCCCGAAACAGTGACCCTGAGGAGTGTGGCAGGTCCCAAATCCAGTTCTACTGTAAATTAAGCTCTACACCACTGAAAATGGAAAGTACACCCACAAACAATAACGACAACGAGAATAATAATTAAAAAAAAAAAAAAGTATAAGTATGAAGCATAGTCCTGGGTCCTTTAATTAGTTTAAAAAAAGGAAAAAAACCTTCCCAGCTGGAGGTCATTGAGACAGTAATGTCAGACCATGTCACCTAATTGAGAAAAATTCTCAAAAGAAACCCAGATCGAAACATTGTTTATGCAGCATTACTATTGAAACAGACTGATATGCTGTGCCATACTGTTGTGCAGCAAATTATATGGTGCAATAGCATTTTAAAAACATTTTACTCTTTCTGAAAGCTTTAAAATAATGCAACATAATATTTTGATATTACAGTATTAACAAATAGTGCTTGATTAAAGACATCTGCAAGTCTTCATAGACACATGAAGTTAAAATTACCATTGGAGGTAAATATAGAAATACAATAATCTGCGCCATACTGACAGCTAAGTAAGAACATAGCTGAGGATTGAAATATAAATTCATTTTTAATTATTTCAAGAAATGTTAGAAAGATCTAAATGTTAGAGCTACTTTAAAATGTAAGGGTTGTTTGCAAGTACAGTGGTGGTCTGCTGCTCTAGCACAGTGCTCTCAAATTAATTCAAGTAGTAGCAAGCCAAAGGTGACTAAATGGCTTAAGTACAATATAGCAACATTGAAATACATAATTTTAATTGGAAAACAAAAAAATAACTTTGTGGACACACAAAACGGAGTTACATTTCCACAGCTACTTAACAGAGCACTGCCAGGAACAGCATTTTCTTGTAAGACCACTTCAAGAAGCCAAAGCTGAAGCTTTCAAATCTTTAAGATTGTACTTGCTAAAACACCCAGGTTATTGGCTTGTGGCAATTTTACTTATAAATCAGCAATTATGTGCACTTAAAATAGTTTAATGAAAGTACACTAACAAAAATGTATGCCCAATATAGTAGTTGGTGCTGGCAATTTTGATAAGTACGTTGCCAGCTCTAACTATAATTTCAGAAACGGCCCTCCTAATATTTTTTAGTGGTTGCAATATTTTAATTTACTTATAATTTACTTTAACTGTAGGGAAAGAGATAGAGGGAAAGGGAACAGGGGTGACCGCACATGGGAAACTGACAGCTTTCACAGTTGGAAAGTTTCACAGGGAAGGCTGTGGTCCAGATAACAGAACACAGTTATATCAACGTTCAGGCAGCTGATTCACTTACCTTTGTGAACACAAAAAAAGCCACACCAAAACCCAGCCCTTGGAACTTGGCTAACTGAGCCAGGGTTAAAAATGACCACTTAAGCAACAAAACTTCCAAAAAAAAAAAAATCTAGGACATATGCTTAGAAAACTCCAGTTTTAGAGCACTTTTCCACTTCAAAAATCTCAGCCAAATGAGGAAAAAAAACACCTTCAGCAAGATAAAAAACGTGCTGCTTAATCTATGGTGCATTGTCATTATCATGATAAAGTAATGGTCAGACCCAGTTATTAACTCTATTTATCAAAATATGCTCACTGCTGATTGCACTCATGTTATTTTGAAGAAATGACTGAAAATTTTCATCACCAATTGTACAACTTCTTTATACAAAAACAAAAAGGTTGCTAATATTGTATATACAAGATTCAAGGAGACTGTTCATAAGAAAAATTCTCAGGCAGGTATTTTGCATTTACAAAACCATAATTTTCATTAACACAGTACATTTTGTAAATGCAAGTGATTTCTTCCTTGTAGAGGATTAACAGTGGGTGCACAAATGCATCTTAAAAACTTGCTCCTTTAAAGGTTTAAACCAGCCAGACGGACAGCGTTAAGACCCAGGACACAGGTTATCATAACGGGCTCACGTGAGCACTGCAGGAGTTAAGTTTTTAATCTGGCAGTCGGAAGATGAGGAACCAAGGAAAAGCATATGCAGTTGCTCTTCAGCACCCGTAGGGGCTATTTTAGAGCAGCATCAGACATTTGGCATGTGCTAGGAGAAAGGAAGGAAGCTACTGAGGAAAAAATGGTGACTTAATAGGAGGAGAGGTTTATCAAAGCCTTGTGATTTGTCAGTCCCTTCCTTAGGGAGGGCTAAGCCTCCTTGGCACATGCCCCAGTCTGAAAAGGGGATACGGGGAAGGCCATATACACTGATACCTGGTACCTTCACCACAGTGCCAAAAATACATGAAAGTTTGTTCAGGGTTTTGTGTTTGGTTGTTCTTTTTTTTTTCTTTTTTTCTTTGTTTTGTTTTTTTTTGTGTGTTTTTTATTTTTTATTTTTACTAGTGGAATAAAACCTGAATACCAGAATTCACTGAGAATCTATATACACCACATTTTAGTTAAACACACACCAATCTTAAAGTCAAGATTGACTATTTTTGCATTTGTAAAATGGCTAGAGCTGGGCTAAATTTCAGCCTTACAGGAGACTTTGGGTAAAAAGATTTTTCTGTGTGTTCTGCTTCAAATTTGGTGTTTTATCACACATGTGAAAGAAACTAATGCAGTCGCCACAGTGCCAAGAATATCTAGGTAACAACAATGCACAATAGATATTCTTGTAATAATAAAACTTGTACACTGGAAACAGATCTGAGAATCTAGCCACAGCCCTGAACCATAACACAAACTTCAATTGAAGAGTTTATTCATTTTATTCTCACTACAAGTTAAACCACCTACAATATCACTTATATATTGCCATTGTTACTCTGTAAAGGTGTGATATAAAATGCTGTAAGACCCGGTACCTTTTCAATTTATATAAACACAGTGAACTTCATTACTGTACATGTACTCTGCAACTACAGCTTAGCTGTAAATCCCCCACACACAATGGTATGGACATTAACCCCCTCTATCCCCATTAAACTGTACATCAAGACAATACAAATTTACTGTCCCCACCCCACCCCCTTACAAAAAAATAATACTCTAAAAGCAACCTACTGCAACTTTTAATTAAGACGATTACATATATTTTAGACCAATTGCTTTAAAGCAAGAAGGCAGTATAAACCTTCTAGGAAAATTTTTATAAAAGAGGTTAAGAAATATAAGACAATTTATACATTTAAAAACTTACAATAAATAAGAGATGCAGGCATTTTTGAATACTAGGTACTATAATCCAATACAAGAACATCTTGATGTTCTGAAGCCATAGGTTGAAACTTATTGTTCCTCGTGTTTCTTCTCATCTCCATGCTTTTAATATTCATTAACCATGACTGGGTACTATGGCTCATTACTCTTCACAAATACTGTGACTGGGGAAAAATGGTTAATTCTGCTACTAAAAATGTTATAATACACTTTCTGATCATCATTCTAAAGCGTCCCCCATAGTCAGTGACTCAAAGACAGCAGGGTAAGTAGGTACCCCTCTCACAAGTCAAAACAATATTTGCTGGAAGTAACAAGATTCATACCCCACCACAAACAACTTGCACTGAGAAGAATTATAACTTAGTCCTGCAGTGAAATATCCCTTTTCCTCATTTTTGTCTTGCAAAATTCAGATGAAGATCACAGCATATTCATGATAAAGTTATACAACTGATTCAGCACCACAAAATGAATTGGGAGACATGACCGTCTGTCCTGGGTTGCAGGATCACAGGTTAGCCAGGAGAGTGCATTGTACTGTTCCAGAACAAACCTGAAAAGCAAAACAAGCTTCCATTAAGCCAACAGATTTTTCTCACCAGTATTTTACAGTCCTAATATACTAGTTTGTTTGGTATTAGGCACGTATGCTTCCCAACATGCTGAAATAACGTGCTTTCAGAATTATTACAAGCACAATCAATTATTACAATTCAGAATTATTACAAGCACATCAAAGCAGAAGTTTATTTCAGTAGAAAACAGTCATTTTAATTGTTGATTCTCATTAATGTTGAGGTTCATGTATTAAAAACACAAAAGGAACCTTTTCTCAGTGTCCTATGTTTACATGACTATCTACACTCTTGTACTTCAGCATTTCAGTATTTCCACGACCCATGCAAAATTCTGGTTTAAGTTTAACCATCTTCCACTCATTTATACACTGTTTTCTGGTTTTGATGAACTCAATATTTTTCAAATATTTTCAGCTGTAATCAACTTGAATTAAAGAAGGGCTTAGTGATCTTTGTATTTAACTGCACTGTCCTGTGATAAAGCCATCTTTTAGTCACTCAAAGCACAGCAGTTTATTGTGTTTGTGACGTGCTGAGGACATCAGCAAAGAAATAACAGCAAGAAAAACAAATATGTAGATCTATTGCAGCAATATTAAAGACGAAATGCACCGTATTTTTGCAAGTGATCAATCATAAATACCTGAGCACATCAGAAGTTTGATTAGAATCAAGTGGATGGGAGTGTTTACTGTGGAGTAGCTCGTCTGATTGCACTGAAGGCACATGGAGGTGCAAAGAGGCCTAAGAAAGGAAGAAAGATGTTAGCACTTATCTGATTGAACTACTACTTTCTTCCCTTTGTACCACCAACCCCCATCTTGCAGCCACCTTCCATTCTCTGACACGAGCTGAAATAAATCTTGGCTTTATGCAGTCAGTAAGCGCAGGACTTCTCTCTCCTAAGTTGCATTACACTATTCGCATTGTGCTTTTAAGAAATTGTTTTAAGATGCCTTTGCCTGCATTAAGTGATTATTAAAAAGGCAACTCAAGCGTAATGAGATTCCTATTAATACACAGCCTTTATAGAACCATAGAATGGTTTGGGTTTGAAGGGACCTTAAAGATCATCTAATTCCACCTTCCACTAGACCAGGTTGCTCAAAGCCCCATCCAAAATGGCCTTAAACCTGTTCCAGTGCCTCAACACCCTCAGAGTAAATAACTTACTCCAAATATCTAATCTCAATCTACCTTTTTTTAGTTTAAAGCAATTACCACTTTTCCTATCACTCCTGACATAGAGTCCCTCCTCAGCTTTCCTATAGCCCCTACTGAAAAGCTGCTATAAGGTCTCCCAAGAGCCCCCTCTCCTCCAGGGTGAAGAACCCCAACTCCCTCAGCCTCTCTTCATTGGAGAGGTGCTCCAGCCCTTTGATCATCTTCATGGCCTTCCTCTGGACTCATTCTAATACAGCTATGTATTTAAAAGTCCACTTGCTTTCCCTAAGACCAATCTATTCCATATTGGAACTTCTCAGGGTACTACAATATTATTACTTTATTACATTACTTCCCTCCACCACCAGTCCCCCAAAGGGGTCAAACATTGATCCAAAGTCTGTCTAGAAACAGAACAGGACACCTATCCTTACAAAATACTTTAGCACAGAGCCACTAAGAAAAAGGTGTCAGGATACTCCGAAGAAACCATCAGAAAAGCAGAATCCTTCAGACTATTTGCTACCTTCCATTAATCATTTTTATTCCTTTTCAAAAAGCGAACATAAAAAGCTAAAGCTCAAGAACTTGAAACCCAACCTCTCTTGAAACAAAACCAGACATATTCCAGAAGCTGTGCACCGACTCTTTAAACATAACAGTTCTCCCAATTCAAATCCCTGCATGTTGCACAGTAGTGTGTGACAGACTGTCCACAAAGATGGCTGTACAGCCTGACGAGCTTACTGTACCTTAAGAAACAAGGGACACTGATTTTGTGCTTGAGGACATGCTGACCAAAACCAGTCAGGCAATGGACCTGCTTTGGCAGTTGACACAAAATAACCAAGGGCCAATGGCTGTTGCAGTATATTTGTTACTTCATCATGAGATTCCGTTGAAAGCAATCGGTCTGTACCTTGACCCTACAAAACAAGCAACAGTTTAATATTAGAGAGCACAAAACAGAAGTTATCTGTCACTTTCAAATCACAAAGCATTTTGAAACATCCAGGCCATTACACAAGTTTTGCAGACACCCCACTAGCCAGTTAATTCAAAACATTTCCTAGGAACCTTCCATTCCACAGAGGACCATGAGCAGATGCAGGAAAACAAATGAACAGAAACCACATAAAGACATATACTCTTACCTTGCCCATGTCACCTCCATGGGGGTAGTGGGACCCTGGAGAATGTACAGGGGATCCAGTAGGGGATGCAGGAAGTATATTTATAATATCAGGATCAAGATCATCTCCAGTGTCTAACAAGTCAAAGATCCCCATTCCATCTGCTCCATCTTGAAAAAGAACAGGAACAGTCAATTTCTGCAATTTCCCTACCTATAGGATATGACAACACATTCTGAAATCAAGTGATTTTCCACATAAATCCTGCAGTTCAGTAGAATGAACAGTCTTATTACAGGGGGACTGATGAGAGAGCTTTGGTTTGTTTTTAAAATAAGTCCAATCTACTAACCGTTGTTTGTGTTGAAGGCCAGATCCAAGTTTTCAGTGGTATAAGTTGACGATGCTACTTGCACAGAAGCAGATGTGGGAAACACAAGTATGTGAGTGCATGACGTGTCCTGTGGGGTATTCAGCTGAGATGTCTGCATATTTAAAGTGGTGCTGCGTCCAAATACAGAGCCAGTCGATACAGAATCTTTGGAAGACAAGTCAAGCATTTCCTTAGTTTTGCAAGAATTAACTATGAATTCCCTCTCCAAAACATAGTTTCTCAAATACCTGGCATTATGATGAAGGACCCCTGTGGTTCCATTGCTACCAAACAAGCACTGAGAATGCTGGGAGAGTCTGCAGCAGAGATGCCACACATTCTGCACATGTCTTTTAGTCTCTTACTGAGGGACTGAAGATTTCGGCGACTCAGCAAACAACTCCAATCTGATGATAAAAAGGACATAAGTCTGTCTAGAAGAACAGTGCTTACTGCAGAATACATATTCTACATAAAACACTGTGTGGTACAAAGTTCACACGTGTTAGGTGTACAAAGAAACTCTAAAGTTATATAGGTTTTCTTCCAGAAGCAGGGACAGACACTGTATTATTTAAGATTAAAGCTCCACATAGAGTTTTAGACTCTAAAATGCTAACATTACCTTTTAATTCCCCATGTCCTATTCTTCCTAAACGTCCTATTACAACTCTCCAAGGCAAAGAGCTCATCTGCACAAGTCCTAAGCACCATTCCCAGAGTTTCTGAAGACCAAGCCTGCGGGCAGAGCCCTTTTTCCTGCGAGCTCTAGAATTTAAAAAAAAAAAAAAAGATAAAATCAGAACCCATTGACAAGAAGTTTCTCTAGCTGCCTTTGGGACTTGCTTGTAGTAACCTGAACATTAGCAGGAAACAATGTTAATATTGTAGTACATTAACTGCTACTTCACATTCAAAAAAGGAGGCTGGTTTGTTTTTAATTAATCACATTCTAACACCGACATCAAGAAACCAGAAGGTGGATGTAGCAGGAAGAAACATACAACAGCTCTCAGGAAACTAAATAGCATTCTAGAAGTTTTAACAATATACACATAATACTGAAATTATCTGTTTGTTTTAATTTTACTATATGGTGAGTCTACGTAAGTCAGAGTTACTCTTACATTATCATAAATAAAATAACTCTGGGGAAAATAAAGAAATACACATGCTAAAAATTAAGAACTCATTCTTACCTGTTTGGTACATCAATATTAATTATGCAAGTCTCTAACTGTTCTCCATAGAGATCTGTACAGGATGCAAGAAGCCATCTTTGATCGTGAGACAAACAGTAGCCTACAAAAAGTACGTTATACTTCTGGCCAGCTTCTCCAAAAGTTTCTCCTAGTTCTGTTTGCTTGTCTTTTACAGGAGCCAATATAAAAGGAGGGGTGTAGAGTCGAATACACTCAGGTCTCTATAAAAGATGACAGAACAGAAAATGAACTTTCAAGAAATTACTATTCTTAACTCTGGTTAGTTCATGTGAAAGACACTGCTGATAAAATAAACATTCTTCCCTTTGATTCACATATTTACAGAATCACATTAGTCTTGAGAACACTCACATCAGGGCTCTTAAGAGCAGTTTCCATGGCTAAACCTGGACCAAAGCCAGTTAACGTTTTCACATTGGTGGAAGTTGGAAGAGGTCTCCGACACTGAGTAAATGCTGAAAATGCCAAAGATTTTAAATGCTGAGTATAAATCTGCCGGTCTTCGTGTTTCACGGGCTGCAGAAGGTACTGACATGGGACAATCTACAACAAAATACACAGGAAAATAAAGTTACTGTTTCATCATTACTTTTTTTTGAGATAGTATTTGGGTATGTTGCTTTCAGAATGTCAGTTTACAATCATTTCTCTGGTTCTCTCTGGTTCTTTGATATTTTCTGCTACTCCTTCCAAAGCTATATGGAACTTCAAGTAATTATGCTCATTGATCTTTTCTTCAGAGAAGAAAAGAATTTGGTTAGCAGATAACCTTAGTGAGTCCTCCAGAAAGATGCCCTCTGATTACTACTTTTGCTGCTGATAGTGTTACAGTTGGATACTTATCACAAAGAAGCCCTAGTCTAAAGCCCAGCAGGGTTACGCTGGCAGCAGATTTTGGTGATTGGACAAAGCAGTTTTCCCATACTTCACTCATTACTGGAGTGGGCCAGTGCATTCCTCTGAGATAAGACTGAGGAGTTAGGAAACTACCACAGGCTTTGGCTTTGACTAGTAACACCCAAACTTCTCTAAAGACCATAATCTTATTAATTTAACAGCTGCAGAACTGTAAACAATGTTCACAGAGCAAACAGAACTTTCACTTTGAGGGCATTATCATCTCCAAAATACAGCTAAAACCAAAGGAGGTACTTTGATCAGCATGTTTCTGTAAATGTTGGCTCACCTGCACAGAAATTATATTCTTGATGTTGGGAGGAAGAACCTGAACCATCTCTAAAAAGCAGCGCAGAAGTCCAAGTGTCCACAAGCTAGACGAGCTACTGTTCTCATCCTTTTTTTCATACGTAAAAGGATCAACTATGTAAACTACAATTGCAGGTGGATAGGTGATAGCGTGTGAATCTCCATCTGTAGGGACTCCAACTTTATCTCGATCCATAGTGCTGGAAATGAAATTTTGAAACCCATTACTAGATTGCAAGCTTTGTAACAATTTGTTTTTACTTACATTAAAACTAAGCTCAAATCAAAGATTAATCTGAAAGACCTTTGAGTTAACTGTGGTGTAAGAAACGGTCTTTTTCTTTCTTTTTTTTTTTTATTAGCTTGTCAACTACTCAGTATCATACTTGTCTTCTCTTTAGCCTTCTTCATTACAGAAGCTCATCAGCACATAGTTTGATTGGTTCAACTGGGGAACAAAAACACCTACAACATCAGCAATGAAGACACTTTTTACTGAGAAACTATGACTTCGATAACAAAGTAGAATTTCAAGATGATGCCAGATATGTATTTCTCCTTCCACTTCATTTGAAAATACAGAGAGAAGGTAGTTTGGCAAAGTTTTTCCTCTTTAGAGAAATAGAAGAAAAAAGTTTATTTTTGTATCACAGCAAAAACAGAGATACAATTAGAATTGCAGCTAGGATATAAGTCAGAAAGTTAAACTCTACCATTAATGAGCTTGCATTCTCCCTAAAAAGCAACTTGGTGACTAGAAAAGAAATTGTTTGTTATTGAGGGGACAAGCGTGCCATTAACATGTTCACATTTGTTGAGCTGCGGGTTTTATGTTTTGCTTTGGTTTACTTTTTTTAACCTAAGAGGGCTTGAATATGCAGTTCCATTACCTTTCAGAAACCTCTGGATGGGGCTGTGCAGGTGCTGAAGTAGTATCCGCAGACATCCCTGCTGCTTGCAGTGTTGGCTGTTGCTGCTGTCCTCCTGTTTGCCCGTTTTGGACTGTTGGAGCCTGAGTGGGCAGGGAAGCAGAAGTGGTATTGTTCATACTGCTAAAAGATGGAAACGAAGAGGGCTTGTTTGTTGGTATCCCACTGCCTACATTAGCAGAAGAGGATGACGTGGCAGTGGTCGTCAAAGTTGAATTAGCTGTAGTAGCTGCAGAAGACATGGCACTAGTTGATGTTGCTGTCATAGTACTACTGGTGGGAGCTGCAGGAGCAGACGATGGAGTGTTGGGATTTCCAGCATTAGCTGTCACTGGGGGCAGAGCAGAGGCTGGCTGGCTGGGGGGAGGGATCAGATTTGTTTGGGAAAGTAAAGAGTTGTCCAAAGGCTGAGAAGCGAGATAAGGACCTAAAACCAGAAAAAAGTGTACATTTAGTACTGTTTATTATGAAGACATACCTAAACGTATGGTTTTTCTGGTTTACTTTTTTCCCCAAACTTAAAACTAGAAAACTGTAACAAACAGTAAGACTCAATGAATAAATACAACAATTTCTCTTCTACTGGAATGGAACAGGTGGCAAGTATACACAAAAAGCAGCACTGAAAAAAAGTAATCCATACCTAGTTCATATCTGCAAACTTGGGCGTATAATTTCAGTTTGGAAAATGCTTCATTGTTGGCATTAGCTGTCTGTGAGAACCATTCTGTGACCAACTTCTCAGAAAGTTTCTTTGAAGCAGTAGGTCCAACTCTCATGATTCCATCAGGCAGTAATTTACAGATAGGCCTGTGCTGACCCAGTCTGCATGACTGCAAAGGCAAAACATAAGATGCAAGGTAAGGAGTTAAAGTAAGATATCAAGTAAAGGAACATGGAGAGAGAGAAAGACTCATGACATTCCAAAGAAACATTTTAATTCTAGAAAACTACACGAGTATGAAATACTGTATAGCGATTTTCATGTTTTCCTAAATGCAAGAAAAACAGATTGATAGATCATCCACTCTAATCCTAATCACAATCCAAGCAATACATGCACTTAATTCATTAAGAAGCTGAAACAATTAAAGTGGTAATACTCTGCTTTACCACTGAGTGGCGTTTTATCAGACAGACTCAAAACAGCTACTACTAGAAGTAACGATGAGCAGTGAGAACAACCCTTGTCTTCCAAGTGCCCATTCCTAAAATCCTTTCCAGCAGCTTTCTGATATAGCATTCCACACAAGCACTTATACCACTGGAGACAAGCCTGATAAATAGTTATGAGTATGTATTAGAAACAGTTTTTCAAAAATCCATTTCACTGCTAACTGCCATAAATAATGTACCTCGTATATTGCAGTCAGATCCCTAAAGAAGCTTTTTGCTCCATTTAGCAGAGCCTCATTCTCAGGGCACACCACAACATAAGCAACATCTCTCTGAGATCCGTAAGGTTCCAACATCAGCCTCTCCCAGTACGGCAATGCAAATGGAGACAGCACCAGAAAATCATAATCGTATCCCAACAAAAATGTTGGGATTGGCAGTGGTTCTGGGGACTCATCAGTTCCTGGAAAAGCAAGATAGATTTTCCAATATATTAAGCAGGAAGCTTAAAAATAACAACCTGCTTCTAGAAAACATGAAAAGAAGAAACACTAGCATTCCCAGCATCTAAGAGGAAGTAGCACTGATTATAAATGGAATAGTTCTTTTAACACATACAAATGAAAAAAGCATGCATGCACAATCCAATGCTCCGAGAAAAAAAAATAAATTAGCTGAGTATTCTCATCTGAAATCTCTCAGGGCCTAAAGAAGTTACACAGTTGTTTATTATGTTTACCACTATACAATCAGGAACAGATCTTCACCATCCAGGAAGCCTTCCCCACAGAATCTAAGGGATCAGTGATCAAAAAAGAGGGGGAAGAAATGTAAATAGTCTAAGCAGATACATGAATGACCACAGAAGGAAAATTCTCAAGAACATGCATTTATATGCATCTTAAATGCATAATTAGGATGTTCTAAATATTACAATAGCTACTAATACCTGCTGGCAAAAGGTGACCCCTTTGTATGTTGGCAAATGAAACAATTTCACATATGCTAATAAAGTCAGAGTTTAAACCTTAAGTTGAGTGCACAAAATTTACCTTCTATCTGTAAACATGCATCAGGTATTGGCTACTCCAAGTATGTATGATACAACACACTGGATGATCTCAGATCTTCAACATAATTTTGAAGCTACTGATCAATAAAGCACGCTTTTTCAAGCATTTCAAAGGTAGTATTTAGTAATTGCTCTGTATTTAAACACAAAATCCATTTTGAAAATTCAGTCCTTCACTATGATAAGTGTCAGGTGTATATAAACAGTGCAATTGTCAATTTTAAACGCAGATACTTTTGATTCATTCAGTGTTTTTAGAATATTCTGTTTCTGCAAAGAAAAGAATTCTCCCCTGCCTAATGGCTCTTGTTATTTTAAAGAAAGGTCCAAATGCTGTTTAGAATAGCAATAGGCTGAACAGCATCCAGACGCTGAGGTTTGGTGGCCAGATCAAGTAGAGATTAACAGACAAGAGTCTACACAGCAGTTTACCGTAAGAGCCTCTGCCAGCCATTTTGTGAAACTGTTGCCACGTGAGAGGGCCTTGCACACCCCAAGATCGGACTGTTCGCTTCTTCTGAATTGCATCCTGAAGAACTGGCTGGAGCGAGAGGAGCATGCGCAGGATGTCCTGGGAACACTGCATGCTCACATCCAAAACTGAAAGGATAAAAAGTTGTTAAGGCCTGCCACAACAATAGGATAAAATAAAGCCTTCCACAAACAACCCTGATCCTAAGCTACCTTGTTTTTAAATAAGTCACCTTCTTCCAAAATTTACATGCTGTTCATGCAGGCCATCCAAAGGCAGATAGAAAAAGTTAAGCACACAGATTTAGAGTTCTCCCTCTCCCCCTCCTCCTAACCAGATAAAAAACAAACAAGGAAACCGAAAAAAAAAAAAAAAAATCATCTGTAGAGTTACTTCCTGCAAAAGCCTTAACATCTTAATATTTTTTATTTCTTAGACTAAGTCACAAAAAAAAAAAAAATCAAGTTGTGCAAGTTTTAAACTGCAGAATTCTCCCCTCCATGTAAAGGAAGTTTAGGCAGACTGCCACCCAGTGCTCACTTCAGAGAAATCTCAAACACGGTCCATTTCATCAGCTTCGCACCACTATGCCATTTAATGCACAGTGTTTCAAAATTTGTCAGGGCTATAGTATCTTTGCCTTCTTCTAAAAATCATTTTCACATCTTTTTATCCTAAGCATCAAGGTCACAATTATACCACGTCTTCTCCTGTGTACCTGAAAACATTGATTTACCCAGAGCCTGGGCTTTTAAACTTACAGCTCCATCAATACACAGAAGCCTAGCTTTGTTCATCTTCTTCAGCCTCACTAATGACTATTAACTGTAGTTAACTTCTCAAAGTTCCATGTTTTACTGTTTACCCACCTATAGTTGCTACTTGAAAAGACTGCTACTGAGAGAAGAGGTAGGTATGCAAATACACGTAGGCAGGAGTGTACCGTGAGACAGTAAATCATTAGCCAAGGCCTAGAAAGAAAACTCCAAAAATCTCTGGCAGATCCAACACACAGCAAAGGCCACAATAAAGCACATTTACCACACACCCCATTAAACTACCACCCCCTCTTAAAGAAGGGGGCAGAAGCCAATTGAATCATACATCTTCTTGAATTCTACCATAGTAGCCTTTCGCAGTACAGTCACCATTTGAACCACCTACACTTTTTCTACATGCGCTCATTCCACAGAACCTCTGTGGATGCAGTCACCAAAAGCTGCTTTAAAAGAATAAGTCTAGGAAAAGCATCTTGAACAGTTACTGTGGTCTTACATTACACTTCCAACCTGTTAGAATTACACGGTGGTATATGGTGTTCAAGGTCTACACTCTGCTTGCTGTATGGTACCACCACAGAAGGTAAAAAGAAGCGTTATTTTGAACACTGTTAAAGCAGAAGTTTATGCAAGCATGCAGGTGGGAAAACAGTTTAAAGCATCCAGTACTTGAAACCAAAAACCTTTAAAAAAAAAAGTAAAAATTCAGAGGTAGAAGAGCAGCAAATAAATTGTTTTCAGTATTTACCATTTCTTTTTGACCAGTGGTGCAAGCAAGTCGTTTTCACAAGTGCTTCATCAACTTTTCCTCCTGACATATTGTCCATGAACTGGCGTCCATGTTCCAAGGCTAAGTAGCAGTCATTGCAACAATCCCTTTCTTCTACACGTACCAGGTTGCTAACTGCACTGACTTTGGGGATAGGATCTTGATCTGCTGCTCCAAATGGTGAGAACAAGTTGGTGCATTGATCTTGCAGCAACAGTATTAACTCATCAGGCAGTTTCTCAGGTTCTTTCAGTCCTCCGCTGCCATGTTCGACAGAAGTAGCTCTGAGAGCTTCAAAGCGTTTTTCTGCTTCCTTGCCACACTCTGTATTACGTCCTAAAATATCCAATTCATCTTCAAGAAACAGTCCAGAACTGTTGCCAAATTTTCTATTCATAACAGCACTGAAACCACAGGTACACCTATACTGGGCCTCTTGTGTTGGATCGGGAATGTAAACTCCAACATCAGCACCTTTGATGTTCATATTGCAAACACATATGCAGCAGCTGTCAAAGTTACAGTCTTTGAAAAGATTCATTACAGACTCTGAAAGGATGAGATTCACATAAAGACTGTGTGCCTCTGGAATGGAAGGCACGGTTGCAGGTTCAACAGAATTAAGCGGTCTACATGTTGATGGTGTGGAAGCTGGTGAGTATAAATCAGAGTTCTCATACTTGACTGAACCCTGCGCACTTGCCGGTCCACCAGCTCCACGAGGTGTCCGAGGAGTCCTTGGTGTTCTAGGAGTTGGGAAACGAGGGGTGGAAGGAGAAGGGAGAATTCCAGCTCCACTGTTACTGGGTGGTGCACTACTTGGTGGCATCCCAAATGGAGTATGAGTTTGTGGTGTGTACGCAGGGCCGTACTCTTGATCCATAGTGCTTCCATCACTGATAGGAGCCATAAGAAGAAAGAAATAATTTAAACAAACTTCAAAACCAACGCACCACCTAAGTCTCAAATTGCTAAATAAGGGTCTTCCTAATTAAAATTTGCTTATTTGAACTAGTCTTTCATAATCTACGGAAATAATTTAATTCCCTAAGGAACTTCAGGAGCATTTGCTCTAAATGACTTTGCAGGATTCCCAATGACAGTGCTGTTAAAGAATCATTCCCTTCTTCCTTTCCACATAGTTTCCAGGAAACTAACATGAACAGTGTAAGTTACAAATACTATGGATGTATGGATTCTGCCAATAGCAGATTCAGCTAGATGTATGAAATAGCACCTGGAAATATTTAATGTTTTTTTTCTAAGCAGCTGAATATTTCCCAAGACCTGTAAGGCTGATGAGACCTGGGAACACATTGCTTATAAGTGACCTAATAGAAGCAACATCAGTATTTACAACAAAATCAAAAACACTGCAACTTTATCAATAAATACACAGCCTCCTCATTGCCTAATCTGTCTATAGAAGCTACTAATGCAGAAGGAGGAATAAATATTTTCTTCAAGAACTGCCAGCAAAACCATCACTACCAAACACAGATTAAAGAAATGCTTCCTGTAATACTCCTGTTACAAGGCAATTATCACTCTAGGCATAGCTTTCAATAAAAGGAATTTTTTTTTCTAATCCCAGTACAGATGAGATTATTACTACTTAAGAAAATAATTTAAGAAACAGAAGCACCACCTACTAAACCCTTACAGTACCTATACCACCACTGCAAAAAAAAAAGTCCCAGGTTTACATTTATCTTGATTGTTACCATCTTCATTACTTATTAAAACTGGACTTGCACCATTAAGCTTCCCCGAGAAACCTTTAAATGAGACAACAAATAACGTGTATGCACAGTTAAGAAGCTATTTCAGGAGACACTCTTGTAGTAAGGTTTAATCAAAGATTGTTTGAAAGACTTCTGTCAGTTGTCTAAACAGTGTCTTTATAAATTTTTCTCATTACAAGTTTATAAAAAAATAAAGCTAAGGAGTACTTTATTGGGTAAATAACTGAAAACTGTAAAAAGCTCACACATTTGTGGCATAAGTCATACCCATCTTTGATGAATGGCATGGCAGGTCCTGGAGGAAGTAAATCCAACTTTCCTACAGTCCAACTCTGGCGATAAATGCATTCTTCTGGCAGCTTGATGGGAGGGAGACACTGGCTAGGAAGTGTCTTCAGTGGTGCAAACATGGAACATCCCACTAAGGCTTGGCAGTTCTCAGGTTTATAAACATAAGAATAATCCTAGAAGTTATACATGGTAAAGCATCAGCATGCAAATTAATAAGATTACATCAGCAATAAAAAGGCTTCTTAAAAAAATGGAACTGAATAAGAGTTCAAACAGTAGCTCTTTAATATTTAATCCAGATAAAGCCGTGAAGTGGAAGTTAAGATTTACACATACATCATTGGCGCCCATCAAGTGATGTGCCAATACAAAACAAACCATGAATTATCAAAACTTTATCATTAGTTTACCAATGGATAATTGATACATCACTCTTTAAGTTTAAATTGTAAAATAACACATTACTTATTAGATGTATGTTGCCTACCTCAGTATAATACAGGGAAAAAGTTACAAATTGTACTTAGTCTCCCACCAATCCTATTTGGGATTAAGTAATAGATTGAACAATAATCAATAGAAACATATCAGAACCGTCAGCACTACCTACCTTTATTTCAGCAGGTTTGGGGCTGCAGAAACCCTCATCTACTTCAATTCTGAACTGAGCTCCCACACTAGAGCTATTCCCTTCAAGTACTGTTCCTCCAAGTGTAGTGTCCATGCTGCCATACTCCTTATTATTCATGTTCATTGGTGAAAATCCCATAATATGCTGTTCCAATGAAGGTGGAGTTGGATACATTTTATGGAGATCTGCAGTGCCTAATTTCAGATTAGAAGTAGGCTTTAGAGTATGACAACATTTTGAATTGCTTTCTTTCTCCTAAGATTTCAGTAGGGTAAAGGAAGCATGTTTAAATGTTTAAAACTAGTATTCTATTTAAAGAAGAAAATAAAGCTTACTTATGCATGACAGCGGGTCTAAATTTCCTGCTTTTGCCTCTTTGCAGTTGGATTTGTCATCAGCACCATTCACCGTTCTTTTAGATCCAGGCTAAGAAGAAAAAGTAGTACTCTATTAAAATCATTTTAGACATGAACACTCACTCATTTTCCCTGATAACAGGAAATTTCATGTACAGTGGACGTAGAAGGCTGAGACTTTATATAATATTATGTAATATTTAGAAAACCTATAATAAATCATAAGTTTGATACTAGTAATTGGTGTCACCCTTGTCTTCCCTTAATATTTGTACGTCAGAATACTCTCCCGTCAAATCATGACGCTATTGAAATGAAAGACCAGCTATAAAGTAGCTCTCAGCCCGTTAGCAGACACCAAAAAAAGCTAAATAGGGCTGCCCACAATCTCTCATAAAAAATACACACTCCCAAAGCCATGCTAACATTACTGATGTTACCATATGAACAGGAATAGAAAGAGATAAATGCAACTCCTGGAACAAGAGTTAAAGGGAAGAAAAACTGTTTAAATTAAGAGATATTTTACAATGTTTAGACAGTACTGTAGTCTACAGAACATAAGAGTCTTCATGCTTAAGAGCAAATAAGCTTGCTTTATGCTCTATATAATGACGACCTTTGATGGCCATTAAGATCCTTCACGCCTTTACTCAACTACCGCTCCCATTAAAGTTGATGGGTATTTTGTCTGAGTAAGGAGATTTAGGTTTATGCATGGAACAAAGTCCAATTCAGAAAAGACAACTGATTATCAACAGTACTGAGACAGAAACAAGAAAGATAATGAATTCAGAGCCACTAGAGACTGCAAAAGAAACTGTTCCAAGACAATAACTACTGCAACGAAACAGCTCTGTTGGCAGAAGGTCCGTCCACGTGTTTAAATGCTTCTTCCATATTTTTGTTTGTTTTCAGTATTACCTTCATTGACTAGCTAGTTTATTAATTTTAGCTAGAGATATATTCTAGCATATACTGTCTGATTTGCAAGGATAGGCAAGATCAAAAGCTTTTTTATATCAAAAATGATTGCATGAGCCAAGCAGAACAGCATGTCTGCTCTAGAGGAGTCACAATACTTGCTTGCAAGTGTTGCAAGTTCCCCTAAAACCACCAAAACCACCCACAAAACACAAGAACACATACATGTTACTTGCAGTTTTTTGTCTAGCAGATGCCATGCATTTTGAACATAACTTACTGTTAGTTCATCCTCATCAGAATTGAAGAGATTGTCAAGGTCAGTATAGGAGACCACCAAGTCTGTTTCATGGAACAGGCTAGTCGATGCAGTGCGGGCATGAGCAGCAATACGTTGGGCATCTATAAAGAAAAACAGATTACAGAAACACTGGTGATGTGTGCTTAAAAAAGCCACATTTAAAGGACTATTTCAACAGCTGAAAATATACACATGTTCTCAGGTCCATTCAAGTGTCTTACACATAAGTGAGGTCCCTTCAATTTTATTACATTTGGACTTTATAGCCACCTTTTATTTGCAAGGTTCAACAAATAAAGTGCATTTCCAAGATCATCCTGAATTCTGAAGATACAGGGTAAGACACAAAGTAAAAACACAGTAGCCTGTTGAGTCCATTGACTATTCAAATAATCATTAATACACCACAATTTAAAAAAAAAAAAAAAAGTCTTTTTACCTTGCTTGACAGAAGGACTAAACAGAGACATAGCATCCTCTCCTTCATGAGATAAAACTGTAACACTGGATGCACCGTCCTCAGCCTATTAACAAAAAAGGCAGAAAAGTTCACTTAAATCAATCTGGGAGAAGGACACTATTTCCCTATGGAAATTCTTGTATGCATGGGAAGGATCAGGTTCTCATTAGCCTTCTAGCTCAGCAGGGTGTAGCCTGGGAGTCTGGTTAGTGGTATCTGCTCATGGAGAAGGAGGCTTAGAATACAGACAACATGCCACCAACACACAGAGGAAAAGCATGGATAACATACATCTTAGGCTTTTGTGTTAGGGATAAACACTTAATTTAGAAATCAAGCTGTGGATTCTTGCTCTAACACTTTATTGAAAAAAACATTATGAAATGGTATACATTAGCTATACTGGTAATTATTAACGAAACTCTCAGTACAGGAGTGTAAACGTACAGTAGTCCTCCTAATAAGCCAATTTATTTCATATACAAGCTCTCAATTAAGTTAAATTTTCTTCCTTTTTGGAGGGTGGGTGAGAGGGGAAGTGGACAGGGAGTGAGGAGCTTGGTACTTCTGTTTTAAACACAGCCTCACATAGTTGGCACTGGTTAAAGTACAAGGAAAAAGTGCAATTCACTGTCCAGGCAACAACTAGTCAGAGTTCACCTCCTCTTCCCTCAACCTTTCCACATATGCACAGAGCATTTGCTTTGTTTTTACAGTCTTCCACAAGTATCTGCTGTCACCCATTTCTAGAGAGAGGATCCTGAGCCAGATGGATTTTTGTTCCGATCCAGCAGCGTTCTCCCAGAACAAGCCATAAGGGTTAGTGCAACAGCACCACCAGTGTGCCAAAAAAATAAAAATAAACTAGGTGTGTAGTTACTGCATGAATGCTGCATTCTTCATTTATTATTTCTGCTTGAATCATTTTTAGATGTACTTCTAAATACAGAGAAGGATTTATGTTATATTTAGTGACTAAAGCAATTTGTTTCAATCTCATCACTGATTTGTGTCCTCACTTCTTCACTCACCTTGTGTTTCTTCCCAGCTTCCCTCTCGATGTTCTGCCTATCTTTTTTACTATCAGGAAATAAGAATTCCACATCACCATCAACAAAGGCATAAGGATCAATTTCAGGTTCCTGGTCAGCTTCTGACACTACTGCTGCTAGGTATTGGTTTTTACTCTGATACTGTTGCACCAGTTCATCCGAAACCTTTAAAGGCTTTCTACATTGCACCATTAATCTGCACAGGAGGAAAAAAAAAAATCACAAAATATTATTTATCACTTACATGGAAATAGGTCTGCTATCCCACAACCCTTCACAAAAGCAATTTCATCTTTCCTTTCCCTTTTCTTCCCTTCCACCCCAGCTTCAGAAAACTTTTTGGGAAAGAGATGAAATCATTAGTCATGTAATACAGCCTCCTTACACACGTCAGATACAGCACTGTGACTCATTCTGACTATCTCTCCTCAAGCATTGTCAACCCAGATAAAGATTAGTAATTCATCCCAGGCCGTAGCTGTCATTTATTATAAAGTACAAACGTATTAAGCAGTCTATAGCCACTAAAAGAAACTCACCGGGTTAAAAAATGACTTACTGCCATTCCCCATCCACGTTCAAACAAATGATCGGAAAGAAGTGATTAAATCTGAATTTTCTATATTTTAAGAATTTAATTCATGAGTGTTTAATTCAGCATAGAAAGGCAGCATGCCAACCCTTCTAATACCTGGCTGTGTCTAACACAACACAGACCAATACACTGTTGCGCACTAAGCCTGGCTATGCAAAAAGCCCGTAACTACATAAATGCCACCACATTTAGCAGTCATTTAAATCACTTCCATAAATACCAGACGAAGGTCACAACACACCAATACCTGATTTACTAATGGGAATAAATAAACATACATTTGCCATTGTCAGCATTTTTCTTTTCATCCCATTTGGAGTCAAAAATGGAGTTGGAAGTACATAAATTATGTTTTTGCAACATTTACTGGTTTCTCACGTGTAATATTGCACCATCACAAAGATTTGTGATTTATTCTTTCCCTTTTTTTCCTCATTTATTCTTTCCCTTTGCAAGCCACTCTCCAAGAAATGCTATCCCATAACAAACTGATGTGCCTCATGATGAGCAGGGCATGGTTTTTACAGCCTAGATCCAGATACTACCTAGAGTTTAAAATAAAGCTTACATTTCTCCTCTGAGAGACCAGAAAGCAAGAAAAATGTGATACAGAACAATTCAAAGACTTCAGCCTTGGAATTCCACATCAGTGCAGTGATTTCTGAAGAGTTTTCCTTGCTGCCTTGCCTATCCCTGCCAACACAAGTCATATGCAAAAGGACAGAGGCAGGTTCACTCTGTCAAGCCTTCCTAGAAATAAGCTTTCCAAAGAAACATCTCACAGCCAACAAGTGTTAAATTCACCTACGCTGGTCATGGTAACACCCTCAATAACATCTTGCATTAGCCATTAATGCCACCATCTCCACCCCAGACAATGCTGCAACGAGTGTGGCTTTATGTCAAGAACTAATGGTATTTATACGTGGAGCAGCACTTGATAAGAGCTGAAGTCTTCCTCTTTTCCAAGTCCCATAAAAATTAACATGGGGGTGGAAGGAAGAGATAGACAACAACTTTCTAGGAACAAGGAATTAAACACCAGGAAAGACACACAGAAATTGCTGCTCACTTTTGGTATTATTTTTTGATCAGCAAAAAAGAGAAATTAATAGCAAGATGCTCTGGTGGAAGAATGTGTAACATACATACACACACTCTCAGTAAATTTCAGTGAATTGTTAAATCAAACTGTAGCCCATACAAGGAACAATCATTTCTCGAATAGAAAAAGAGAAACCTGAAGTAGCGCTTATCTTTGGCTGGCTGAAATCAATTCAAGGGGAAAAAAATGCTACAATCCCATAAATGCACATCTTGAAAAAGCTGAGATTCATTAGCTAATGCAAACACTTCAGCAACATTAACACGACAGATAAGGCTAAGAACACGAGTATGAGAACAGACCAACAGCTACAGGATATTCATTTCTGCTCACAGCTTTCCTACACAGCAAATTCAACGCAACTGCTACCAGTGGCTTTCCACTGCTAGGAATTAAACAAAATCCACACAAAGTTCCAGTCCTGTGAGTAGCTGCTTCAACTCTTCCAAAACAAATTAAGCACACTACGTCCGGGGGAGGGACAGGACACAACTCTATAACGTGATACTGGTCACACTGAGAGTCTCCTTTCACCTGAATATAAAAAAGTGAATCAAAAATAATTGACAGCAACTGGACTGACAGATGCAACTCCTGGTGCATTCACAGTGCATTTTTTTGTCCACGGATCACATCCGTAAAACAAAGTTTGTCACCTCTGCATCAAAGTGCCAATCGTGTTAAGTTTACCCTGCTATTAACAGCCCTGTCAGCAGCACCTGTTGCTTCCCATTACCATCCTTCTCCTGCTGCTTTCCTGCTTCAAGCTAGATGTCCTCACAAGGAAGGAAGGTAAAAGATGGACACCAGAAAGAATTTCTTAAGCAGTACAACTGCGAAGGAGACAACCCAGAGGGCCAAGTGGTTTGGGTTTGTTTGTTGTTTTGTTTTTGTGTAGGTTTTTGTTTTTAATTTTTGTCAGTGGTGTTTTTTTTTTTTTGCCTTTACTGGGAGAGAAAAGCCATATTGATTAATTCTGCAGTAAAACAGAACTCAAACAGCTACCCCTGCTTTGACTCAATCAATGCAAGTTTTAACACCAAAACCACTAGTGCTATTTTCCTCTTTTGCTTCTAAGCTTCACAGTTTATCAAAACTTAAACAATAAAGTGATCAATTTTTATCCTGATTGAAACAGTAGCAGAGCAGAACATTTTAAAACCTGGTGCTAGATAACACTAGCTTTCAGAAATAAATTCAATTTATTCAACAGCAACAACAAAATTAACTTAATTTACACATACTTCATTTCATGACAATCATATCAGCTGAAGTGCAAAGAATTTCAAGATCTCAAATACATTGCCTGTAGCTTAAAGGCTTTGGTTCTAACAAGGAACAAGTCTGACTCTCTCAATGTAGACAAGCTTCATTTAATGAGTGAGGATCTCCCATCCAATCTAAGTTCCAAGAGCAGTTAAGAGTAGACACACTAGTCACTTGTTTTCTTTGAATGATAACCAAGCCCTTGCTGTTGAACAGCAAACTCAGATCACAGAGAGAATACACCATGTGTGAGAATGCCAGTTTATATGCTACAGGTTCCCAAGAGAAATTCCTGATAATAGAAAATAGCCATGGCCCACATTAACTTTGATGTCTTCTAGGAAGAGAGATTAGTTCCTTCACTGTTCTCATCAGTCATTTAAATAAACAGCTTTCAAAATTTAAGAGCTCTTCCGAATAAAGACAAGAGCAGAACTGAGGTAGAAGGAACTTCATCTCTAAAAGGATAAATAAAGTACCACTTTAACAGGGTAAGTCTTAAAAATAGTTAAAAAAAAAAAAAAAAGTATTTAAATGAGAATATAAATGAGAAATATATTTGGTTTTTGTTGTCATCGTTGTTTGGGACCATAAGTCCCAAATAGGCACAATTTGGCTACAGAGTAATAGAGTAATTTTAGAGTAGAAAAATAATATTCATTACCATCTGCTAATGCAGAGTGTTAATGAAGAAAAGCTGGAAAGTCTTACTACATATTTGACTGTGCTTCACGCTTGCGTATTACAAGTATTGTCTTCTTATGTATGCACAACATAGATAAATTTAGGCTCACGCTCAGCAACACTGCTCGAGCTGATGAGAGCAACATTAAGTGAAAAGACTGTTTCTAAGGAGAAACCGCCTTTGTAAGGAGTAAGGCCTTTGGCCTTTCAGTTTCCTCACTTTCTCACATTATTACTGTAGCACTGCGTATTACTTACTCCGTAACTGATGTTATGTTTTCCTGTTCAGCAGGTATTACTGCATCATCTCTCAATTTATCACTTGGAAGCTGAGGTGGTAAGAATTCCACATCCTTTTTCTTTGGAACTTTATAATACTTCCAAGTAGTATCTGCTTCATCTTCCTCCAAATTCACTGCAGTACCAACATACATTGTAGGCTCTATAACTTCAGGAAATTGGGCTGGAAAAGGCTGAGATAAGCCATCAAGTCTGTCTTCCATTGTTTTTGTGGGAACCAAGGGATCTGGCGTTGGCATCTGGTAGAAATGTTGAGGAGAAGAAGGAGCTTTGGTTACCCCTTCATCAACTACATCACATGGGTGAGGACTAAGTGGTGGTGGTTGAGGTGAATTTGCCATTTCAGCATTATGCATCTGAGGAGTCTTTGCTACATCATTAGTTCGGATATTTGAAAATCTCACTTGACTGTCTGGTGCAGTCATCACAAGCCTCTGACTTGCTGAATCTGCCTCCATGGCAACATCATCACTGATAGATACACGATGATGAAAAGGAGTCAAAGGGCGTTTTTGTGGCTTATCCCCTTTGTCTTGCTTCTCATTTGTCTTGTGCTTTGGAGCTGCTTGCTGTTGCTGGCCCACAGGTGGTGCCTGCCCCTGTTGACCTGAATTTCTTGGTTTGAGATTTTTGTGCCTGCAGAATTAACATAGGGGAAAATATTTCACATTAATCTTTCAAATATGTCTATCACAGCATTTTCATTACGTAAGAATCAGCTTCTAAGTCGTTAAACAGGTGATTATAGAAGTCTGATACCATTCTGAAGTGAAGCTGCCTCCTTCTGACCATAACTCAATTTAAGAACTGGAATAACATTGTAATATTTCAGAACACTATTTAAAAGATTCAAAGTGCTGTCTTATGAGCCCAGAATGCACATTATCCTCAAAGGCATTTATAAAATACTGTCTTCGGTTATCAAAAATAGATAGCCATATGAGCAAGCTGCTGCTTTTAACTTCTACCAACACTGCTGAATCAGTACAACAACATAAGAATTAGCAAATGACTTCTTGGATTCAAGGATCAATACTAACCAATAGTGTTCTGCAAGTCTCTGTGTTAAAGAGTCGAAAATTAACATCAAGAATTTAGAAGTCAACCTGTCAGTCCTACAAAGCTATAAAATATTCTGTAGTTGTAAAATACCTTTTGCAGCTATTTGCCTGCAAATTTAGCAAGGAAGAGTCAATGTCTCAGCTGCATTAATACTGTTAGGTTTTGGTGGGGTGGGGGTGCGTCCACTCCCCCAACCCCCCCCCCCCCCCAATAAATGCACTTGAACTTAAACATTTTAGCTTGGAGCTGAAGATGCCAGCTTTCTAGATCATCTAACAGAACTAGAGACATTAAATATCAAAACCTGAAATGAAACTCTTAGGATTAAGCTACTGAACCGCATGTACATCCTTAGCACCCAGGTATTCTCTGCTGTTCTATTAGGAAAGTTACAAAGTACACAGCTTGCATTAAAACCAGGATTATGCAAGAATAAAAGGTAAGAGGTATCAAAATCTATTTTTACTTTATACTCCCATAAACATACAAGCACACTTCTCGCTGCTTAGAATTCAAAGCATAGAGAACAATAAGGGCTTTGTTTGTTTGTTTAAAGTCTTTGCAATTTCTCTTCAGGGAACTGCAGATTTCTAATACATACCTCATCCAGTTAATTGACAGTTTTCTCTTAGCTAGCACTATCAAACCTAAATTCTCCTTTAGGAGAAATTCAATCCCCCACCTTCCACCAGCTCTTCTCATGCCACTAGTATTTCTAGAGAACTTAAACATTTCAATGAAGGAGAAAAATGCAGTTCTTTCAACATGCTATACTCTCCAGACATTAATTTTTTTAATATTCTAATATTCAAATTGCAAGGTAATCAGTGTACCAATTGAAATCAGAGAAGTGTTTGCACCTTTGCAACACTTCAGTCACCTAAATGTTCTATAGTAAGTACAAAAATGAAACATTAATGTTTCCATTTATGTTAAACAATTTTAAACAAGCTTGTTTAGGACAAACTACTACTGCACCTGCCCATGGAATGCTGTATTTCCCAAAAAGTAAAAGCTCCTCAAGACAACATTCACCCATGCAACAATGATCTTGTTCACTGACAGTTTTTTTCTTTTAAGACTAACACCACAGCCCTCTAGAACAGGTTCTTAATAAGTAAGGCTTCCCCTTTCCATTACTGCCCATGAGGTAGTTTCTACCCTTAAACAGGCCTACGTAATTCCAGACCAAGCCTCAGAAATTGTCACTGAGCTGCCATTAGGTCCACTCAGACAATTCACATGAATAAAAATTCCACATTACCTTATTGGGCAGTTTCAAGACCTAAAATGGCATGTAGGACGACATACAAGTATGTTTGTTTTTAATGACTTTCTTATAAGCAGCTGTTGCTTAATTAGTCACAAAGAAGCCATCATGAGCCCTCTCCTGAGCACTTGAATCTCAGTGTACACTGCTGGACTACAGGTCTGACAATTACTGTACCTTGAACAATTGCAATTTGTCCTCTGCGTGGCTTCAACAAAATCCCAGGATGCTACCTTGTCAGCTGTCTCTTCATCACACAAGCCATTTGATGTAGCAGAATATTTCCGCCTGTGATTCAGTATTGGGAGAGTTATTTGGGATCAACACATTTATCTTCTGTCAAGCCTCAAGAGCAGTTTTGTGACACAGGATTCAGCAAAGAAATCATGAACAAACTTTTGCTAACACATTAAACTGAGAAATAAACAACATACTAGTTAGGATCCAAATTAACTTCTTTAAAACACGTAACTAAAACACTTTCTACTAGCAGTCATAACATCTTTACCAGATTTATTTTCTACAACACATACAAAATATGGTATTTCTTTTAGTTTCCTAAAGTGAATACGTACTTGTTCTGTGCTCTGTTCATATTGCATTCTTGCCAAACTCTGTCCACCACTTGATTAGCTAGTTTTCTAGGTATTTTGCCACCATGATGGCTAGTACTGTCAGAGATAAATCCATCAGAAACTGAAGAAAACTTCACCCATTTCTGGGCAGATTGAGCATCAACTGAAAAGCAGCACCAGAGGAAACAGCTTTAGGCAATGAAATAATACACTCACGACCACTATGAATCCAATTCAACCAACACTGGTTGAACATCCCAGAAAAAAAGTACCTTCTTAACTCAATGTCAGGCAATAAAAACAGATATAAGATTTACATATAGTAGCAGATTATTATAACACAGCTCCCTCAAGTAGAGGGGAAGAAAAAACCACAAATGTTTGTTACAACTGGGCTAGCTATTCTTTATTTGCCCAGGAACTACAGGCCTGAAAGAGAAAACAACATTGCTCATACATCAGGAAAACTTGAGCAAAACTACCTGTTAGCAAGTTTAACGGTTTTGTTTGTTTGCTGGTTAGTTTTGGTTTTACATTTTTTGTTGTGGTTTTGTCATCCCTGTCCTGTGTGTCTTATTTCCCTCCCAGCCCCCCAGGTCTTCTGCTACGTTCATTTGAAGGAAAAAAAAAAAAAAAAAAAAAAAAAACATGAAGAACCACTTGTATACCCCTTTTCTGCACAAAAAGAGCTATTTATAAAGCCATAGGAAACTACTACTGAGCCTTACCTGCTTTGACTTAAAGCAGTATTCTATAATAATTACTCACATGGTTCAGACGGCTCACAGCCTATAGGAAGTCAAGTACAAAGAAGCTTCCTGGGACTGTGAAAAGGCTGAAAACATCACCTTGCTTATCAATAACCAAGATACACAATGATGTTTATAAAGCTACTCCAAATACATACACACATTGGCAGGGGGACAACACAAAGACCTTGACCACAGAAACGTAAAGTACTGGACTACAGCGTCAGATACAAAAACAGTCCTTACTTTACCCATTTAAAAAACATCTAAGTTAATTTTGCCCAAAAATGAAGAATAAAAATGGTGTTATACAACAGACTCATGAGTTCTTAAAAAAGTGATTTTGTTAACAAGTCAGTTGTACAGTGAACATCTGAAACCTTTCTAAACACTGCTAGATTTTAAGCAGCAGCAATTAAAATGATTTCCCACATGTAGAAGCTAACTTTACTATACCTGTTTGAACTTCCTCTGGGGATGTCGGTGGAGTCAGAGTTACTGAAGACATTGCAGGATCTCGTGTGGAAGCAGGCACTTGGTGGACACCCAAGCAAGTAGTTGAACAGTGAGACGCCCCAACAGTACTAGGAGTAGGGATGTCTGTCTGAGGAACTAGAACGAAGCACGCTGGATACACCATTCGCACACCAGCTGAAAAAAGAACAATCTTATTTTACAGTTGTTCACCAACAGTTTACATTTAAAATAGTCAACAAAAGGATCACCTTACCAGTTGCCTGTAAACTTACCTATGCTTTCTGCCTACTAAATCACTAACTGTGGACACACATCTGTTGTCATCATTACCTTAAGATTTGTTTTATACAGAGGATTTGGTTGAATGTATGAAAAAGGCTTTTTTTTTTTTTTTTTTTTTACAGGCAGAGGCAGCCCCAGCCTACACATACTACTACTCGAGTCTATTGTTTTGGTTTATAAAACAAACTACTGACATAGCTTTTAGTACCATGTAAAAGTGACAATATTCCTATTGCTGTCATCAGTCTCTAACCATCACTGCAATACAACCTTGCATCACTTACTACAGAGAAATGATGACATTAGTTGGCAAATCAAAGGTCAGTAGTGCTCAACAAACAAAAACTACTGTGTCCCAGGAGGTTAGATTTTAGAAACAAGAGGAGATAAATGCAGTGCCTGAGTACATTAAGTTCTTCAGGTTTGCAGTTTTGAAGAAATCCCTGAAAGGCACATCTGTTCTGTTTGAATTTGCACAGAATCTGAAACAGTACAACATGCTTTTGATGCATCTCAGATGCCAACAGTGACAGTCTAGTGTTTTTGTTTTAAATATAAAACAGTCTTGCTTCTCAGTGCACAAAGAAAAATGCCTTATCTAATAGGTCTGTAAAACCCAATTTAAGTAGCCACTCATTTTAGATAGGCCCAGTCATTAAACAAAAAAAGACCAACAGCTGTTGCAAATGGCTGCAAAAGAATAAAATGGGGTCACTTCCACATGCAGAATTTTGAAGACCTAACCAAGCAGTTTCAGTAATTAGAAGAGAACACATACCAACAAGGACTTCAACAGCAGCTAAAGAATCATCTTCCCAATCCATGTCTTCTTGCTTTTCCTCAGACCCCTCCTTCAAGTTAGATGTGACAGGATAGAACTGTTTCCATTCACCAATAAGCTTTTTTGTCGATGAATCAGAAAGCTTGAATGACTGCCCTGTGAGTGTGCCATTTAATCCAAAGGGACTTAGAATAACTAAAAAAAAATAAATGCAAGTAAATTAGAGATTATATCTAACCAAAATTTACACTTCCCACTGAAACAGCATTAGTGTTATTTCAGCCACACCAAATAAACAACTTACCATTGGTAAGTACACCCTGATCACATTTTACTATACTGCACAAGTTGGAGGCAATAGGTACACGTTGTTAAATGTATGTGTACTGTAAGAATCAAGGTATCACAATAACAATTACCTATTAATCTGTTTAAACAAGCAACAAGCAAGTTTTCCACTGGGCTAGCAATGACTCTGCAACATACAGGTGGGATAAAAGAAGACCATTTCAAATCCCAACAGTTACAGAGTTTCCCCATCCTTTCATTCTGCTTGGTACAGTTACAACAACAATGCTACATATATAAAAGGAAGTAATCTGTTTCGTGTTTAGTCTTGTCCATATTAGAAAAGCACAGCTGCTGTTAAATTGCATTCAAAGAAAGCAAGTTTGGACACTGAGCAGTAATAAACAAGGGCAATGCATAGTCATGCAGGAGAAGTGATTTCTCTAGCCAGCACAAGTGTGTCTTAGACAGGGAATGATCAAACAGCCCACTAACCAGACTCAGGCCCCATCACTCCTTTGTCTTCGAGAGCATAGCCTGCATCTGCTGGTGGAACCAAAGGAATTTACAGGCAAGGAATAGCCAAATAAAAATGGGAAAGGGGAGTGAATAGAGTGAAAATATGTCAAGTCAGAAATTGATTTCTAAAGGAGAGGTTGAGGAAAGTATGTGGCGGTTATAAAGCATGTTGAAAAAGCAAAATATTTGAGTCACCCATAGGACAGTACTCAGAAATAAAGTTTACTGTATCGTAAAGTCACATTATTGGGCAACATGCCAAAAAGATGAATATGGAAATCATCCACCTGCAGAAGATCCAAAATCCAACTGGCTTCTGACTGGCTATGTCAAGACAGCAGATGTTTGGGTAGAACACACAGTCAATGCAAAACAGAATGCCTCTGCTCCCACTCCCAGAAATCTGTACCAGAAATCCTCACACTGAACACCTACAAGGATTGATTTTAATACACACTAGAGACCAGTAAAACCTACCTTGAAAAGGGCTGTTAGACTGCTGGGCGAGGGTGAGGTGTTCTTCACTAAGCAGGTACACAGGTTGATGCTGACTGATCTCCACGCTGGTACAAACATTGCTATCCCCATGTAAGAAAAAGGTGAACGAGCAGGACAAATGCTCACTGGGGAGACAGAAAACACAAATCCTATGTAGAGATCTTACAACAGTAAGTTAATAGTTTTCTCACTATTTTGAAGGGATTTCAAACAAACATTCATTAATAAATACTCATAAATCCATCTAAAAAACTAAATGCTAAATATATGTTTCCTTGGGGAACATACCATGTATTACAGTTTAAAGACAAAAAAATCAATCAGGAAGAAAATAAGAGACGCTAAGATTTCTCTTCAGATTGAGACTTTGTATTTTAATGTCTAGAGGAAATTTAAATACTTTTTTTTGAAAATCAATTAAAAGGGAACTGTGACTTAATATTTTATAGTATATTTATTAAAAAGCTATAAGTATTGCTGAACATTCATTAACTTTAAGGAGGTCATATCTAGGTTCTCCTGTCAGAGATTCACTAAGCAGAATTTATATTTTAAGATTTATATTAAATATTTGCCAACAAGTAGCTTATTTAAAAGCAGAAAGAAAGGCAACAGCTTTGGGAAATTGGGATTTTGTTGTCAGGGTTTTGTTGTTGGTGGGTGTCTTCTTTTGTTTGTTTTATTGAATCTCATCTCCATGTTCCTAAAGCCAGTCAAGTAACTAAAACTGAACTTCCACGCCTACAAACAGGAAGATATGAACAATTTAAGAAAAAGTCATTGTTAATCAAGTCATCAAATCACATATCAATGTTTACTAATCAGATGCTTCACTGACAGCTTCTCAGTCTAGACTGATTGAAAAAAATACAGTCCTGTACAGGAAAAAAAAAAAAATATATATATATCTTTCATACAACACTGAATTAAATAAACCTGGTTTACATAGTGCTTGACATAGCCAGTAACTAGTTAGCAGCTCCATGAAATCTTCTACCTCCTTCAGAGACTTCCCAATATTTGCAGCTATGCTGTGTTTTGTTACAAAAATATAAACACCTGCAAGTACAACTAAGAAAATATTTTCTGTCACATCCAAATCATTTTGATGGCTCGTGTGAAATGTATTTCACCATTTTAAAGGGCAGGAAGAGATTGGGAAGGAAATAAAAGCAGAACCCTGCCAGAATGCTGCAGAAATAGTATATTTCAGTACCTAATTCCACCTGAAAAATCACTTTTTCTATAATTAAAAGAAAGTTGTACATGCACAACGATTTTAAGTTATATAGCTACAAGTCATCTCAAGTGTCAGCCACACCAATAGATTCCCATAGGAAAGGAACAGATGTGCAAAAGCAAGATGCTGTTTACATTGGACATTAGATTAGGTCCAACATTTCTCTAACAGAAGAATGAAAGTCAAGGAGAACCTTAGAAATACTTCATAAAATTCTATACAGAAAATAAATCCTTTTCTATAAGAAGGGCAGCATCAAGCACCTGCTCAGTCTCAGGAAAAGAAATGAAACAAGTCAAGGGAAACAAGACTAAATGAAGTGAGTCAAAATAGCAGATGCTAGTGCATTTTTGCAAGGTCAAATGGAAGAGACACTCCGTGAACTACCGTAGCCTAAAAAGACCACATCAATGCAACACCACTTTCTGCCCCAAGAATAAAATTAGACCCCATCAACACCAGCACTGCGTGCATACTCTTTGTGAAATTTTAGTCTATAGACATTTTAGTGGGAACAAAAAACAGATTTTGCATTTCTGAAAAAGGAAAAAAAATCGTTTCTAGAGCTGGCACAATCCATTCAATTTATGGAAACAGAGATAAGGTGGCTTCCTGACTCTCACTCCAAAGACTCAAAGAGCAGCCACCCAGGCGGTCACCGCAATGAGAAGAAAACTACAGTGTAAAATACGTGGCCTCAACTACCAACAGATTTAAAGTAAGGGACCTAGAAGACTTCAAGGATGAAAAAACCCACAGAGTTGAAGGCAGAACAGAATTGCAGCATCACGCTTTTTATTACAGTATCTTAAAGCCGGCCATGAAGAGAACTCAACAGAAACCTCTCTGGAGGGGGTGGCCTTGACTGGACCATGACAATTTTCAAGGTGCTTCAAGCCTGTGGTGCTACACTGATCTGCTCTTCAGTTTTATTTATCTTATTTTTAAATAACTCAAATAGCCAGGATGCAGAGATACAAGTGAACTGTCATACTCACTGACCACTACTTAGCATAATTATTCAGTAATCTAGCTCAGAATGGTGTTTTCCCTGCAGAGGAAGTAAACTGCTCAGGCATCTCAACAACAGTGGTTTCCAAAATCCAGGGACGATGGAGCTAAGCATCTTGTTGATGATTTCAAGTTCGAGCAAAGTCACACAGTTAGCAAACACCACAAAGTTCCTATATAGAAATCTGATTAAACTTTAATCCCTGTGCAAATAGTTAAAGACTCATCTTGTCAAATTGAATTTTATTTTCAAAATATTGCGTGGTTTAAGGTGAAATAGTGGATGGTGCTTTTGGCTCCAGGTGACAGATAGCAATGCAGAAGCTTAGTATGAGGAAGAGTTAAAAGCACATATTCTTTAAAAGACACTTTAAATGAGATTAAGCTATGTCTCTAGTTAACGCTACATTATTGCGCAGATAAAGGGCAGACATCTGTAGCATAATCTGAGAGAATTCAGATAAACCAAGACAAAGAGAAGCATCAGCATGATAACAGAAGCATGTCAATTCACTGCACTGCACAGCTACTCCTAAGTAGTAGCAAGGAAAATTCAAGGTCATCATGCAAAAGCCAAATCGAAAAAAAAAAAGAAGAAAATAATACAAAAAAGACATCTCCCCTCCCCCCATTGAGCAGGAGGGAAGTTTCCAACAAAATAATGAAGTAAGACAGTGGCCATTGTTGGCACTGACATCATTCAAACAGCTTTAGCATGAAAGCTGCAAGCGCGCTATTTGTACTGGAGGAAAGCAGATCCACGACGCTACAATTGATTTGAAAGTCTCAATGCAGATTGTTCACTAATTCTGCGTATGAATTTAACAGAAAAATCAGGCACATCACCTTCAATTTTTGTTTTGGTAGGTGCAATGAAGTCATTTTATGCACAACAGAATGTGATTGTTTCGTAGTCGGAACACACAGCAAAATACTGCTGTCCTTAAACACAACTGAAGGGAAAAATTTCCACGTGGTACATCCTGAAAACGAGTCATCCTAACTAAAGGTTAGCAAAGGCAAAACTGATATTTTATGAATTCACACACAGCATTAAATTTCGTCTAACTAGTCACGCTCAGGAACTGTTTCTTCCCATTTAACACCATCAATCCTGTGTTACAAAATTAATGCTTATGGAAAAAAAAGTCACCACGAATACAAGGACAAATTATTACAATAAAAAAGCAGAAATACCCCAAAATACACCAAATCTCTTTGCAAAGGAATAGAGGAAAGGTGGTAGGAAAGGTAGAAGCAGAGCTCTAAGTTACTAGCTGCCCCTACATACACTATTTTATGGACTAAGCAAGAAACCCATAAACATGTATGCTTTTTATTATGTTTATATTTCTTTTTATTGATACATTTGCACATTCTCCAGTTCTGTAAGTTTCCAGAGATTCACTGGTAGCACACAATGCTACCTCAAACTCAGCTCCGGAGAAATTTTCTCAAACCTTTCCAAAAGCTATTAAATTCCACCACTTGTCTAACTTCCTCTCCTGCTCTCAATGGCTCACACTGCAGACAAAAATCCTAATTAAGTAAAAATGACAGGAGCCCCTTCAGAATTTAGCAAGTCCACTTAGTTGGTCAAAAAGCATTTCACTTCGAGGTAAATAAGCAAATTGCTTTCACAATGTAGTCAAGTACACAAACCCAGAAAATCGGTGATTTCCTGCCTACTAATACAGAGTTCATCCTATGCTTTTATTTGGGGACTTTTTTTTTTTTCCAAGTACCTCGGAAGATCACTAGATAATTTGTGCAGAGCGTCTCATGACTGCAGTATAAAGAAAACCTATACCACAATGCTCAGAACTTTTGTTGTACATGCACAGGGGTGAGACAGATGCCCCTCCTAAAAAGCTTGTCTTAAAGGTACTATTGATTCTCCATTTTTTTTTATGTATTTTTTTTTTTAGTTCTACAGTACAATCAAGTATTGTCACGTGTGCATATTGAAGAGCAGAGGACAAAATTTTAAACAGAAAATTCTGAAAACAAAACCCTAATTCTCAAATATATCATTTTCTTCCTCAACTCTGAATATAAATTCATTTCATTAAAGGCCTAACTACAGACCTTAACTACTAAAAATCTAATGTCCAACACTGGTAACCGATCTCTGGATACAAATGTTATGAACTGTTACCAGATTGAACATTCTGTATGAATTTTGATCTGAACACACCAGAACTCAGTGAGTTTCAACATCAAAAAGAAAAAAGATCCTTCAGAGACAAAAGATTACAATTCTATGTGAAAAGAAATGGAAACCACTGTGGACGATTTCAATAAATTTCTTTTTCTACCTTTCTAAGAGAAACTGAAGTGAAGGAGGGGAAAAGCACACTGAAATTTACATATACATGAGGTTTCTGCATCTCCATTAGCAAATCTGAAAATGCCTCCTTGATAAAAAGATAATTAGGTCTGTTGTTTTTTTTTTTCCTTCTCCACATTAGTACTTCTGTAGAGCTTTATGTCTTCGAAGTGCTTCACAAACATTAGCTGCATTAGAACCTCACTAATCCACACTTCACTAGATTACATACTTCAAGTCAGCACCGCACTATGGCTGAAAGGCAAGGAGACTGCAGCAACATCAGAAGCAACAAAGGAGTCTGCAATTAAAGAAACCCTATACCACATTTGATAGCAAAGTCAAAAAAGCATTCAAATGCCTCAAAGAGAGAATGTTTCTTTGTTTTTATAGCTCTCGCATTTTTTCCTAGATTGTCTGCAAATTACTTCCAAGTTGATCCGAGTGGCTAACCAAGTCAGAGCACCGGCAATCATAACAAAATATTTACCATATTCTCACTATGTATTTTTCTATTCCCATTTCCTAGAAGAGGAAAATGGACA